CCTACCACTACTCAGCCGCTCGCTCCACTCACCAAAGTAAATTGGCAGTGTCGAAGACATGAAGGTCTGTGAGATGCTTATTACCACTATGACCACCAAACAGATAAAGCTTCGTACCTCATAACTTGAACAATACACAGTAAGCAGGCAATGCAGACGGTACCAACAACCGTCATAGTGTGCGCATTTCTTGCCATTGGAGGCTGACCACAGACGTTCGGCTGGATCCAGGTCATCGTTTCGAGGTCGAGGACATCTGATACCACAACCCTCTAGGCCCTATGCCTTTTAAATGCCCCGACCCATGTCATTGAAGCACTTCTGACCATCATATCCGCCAAACATATACAGCTTCTTGTTGAGTCGTGACAGTGTATGGCATGCCCGAGCAGAAGGAGGCTACCAGAGCTGCATAGTACAGTATATTGAGAGCCCATCATTGCTACCTGACCACTAGTTATCGCCTTAATCCAGCGCAGACTGCTGTAGGCTGAGTTGGTGATAGGCAAAACCTGACCACAAATGGCACAGTAGCACTCGAGGCACCGAACGTACCGACGCATCTTCCTCTTCTTGATCAATGGCTGATGCCAAGCTGAGAATAAGGCATCAGTGGTGACACGAACAGCAACCATCCCACACTCACTCTCCGCCTAAATTGCCGCTACCACCACCAGTGAGGCTATTCTAAGGAGAGAACAGCGGACAGCTGACAGCAACGAGTGCCGATGAGACGCTCACAGTCGATCCCGGATCCCCATTGCCCTGCCCTGATAGGTTCCCACCAGAAGCATACATCGAGGCACCCCCATGACCAGTAGTAGTATCAACTGTAAGGCTGCTGACATTCGCTGTCCTCCCGCCGACTGAATTACTCCTCACACCGGGAGCTGAAACAACCACGCCAGTATCATATTGGCAGCACAGACTACCACCAAAATATTAGGACTTACTTGAGGCTGATCCCGGCTGAAGCTGGGGGTACAACCCTGCTGGAGATCCACTTGGATAACTGAGCCATCAAAGGTAGGAATAGTAAGGAAGGACGCCTTGGGATTGAGGCTACCTTACTGTCCTTTGAAGCTGAGGGGAAGCCGGCAGGTCCTGTCGTAGACGTTGCTGAAGTTGCTGCCCTGCTAGACGGTGCTCTGGATAGTCCAGGTTCACCTGCTTATAGAAGTACACCAGTACCAGAATACAGTGCCTACCAAGACGTGGGTATCGGCCAACCACTTACCACCATCGTGACCACCGTGAATGAACAGTCTACCATCTACCACAGCCGTTGTGTGCTGAGGACGACGACAAGGTGGAGGAGGAAGGGGACGTGCTGGGAGGACTCACGTTATTCCTGGCCGCTGGCAGAGGAGTCCCTCTAGGCATGACAACTTCATACCAGTGGAAGGTAGGAATGTCAAGGACGTATAGATCATTCAGTGCCTAGGGAATGCATACAGGGAGGCTGAGCATGGTTAGCCTCACCTTCTTCCCGTTCCAACCGCCGAAAATGTATAAGTTGCCATCGATCACATCACATGAATGAGCCGCTCGCGGACCTCCATCAGAATAGTACCGACTCAACTCTGGTACCCCTAGAGCTACCTGGGTCATCGGTCGTGGACGGGACTGACCAAAGTCGGCGCTTGTCGGCCGCCCACGAGCCACACTCCTGCCGTGGGGTGAAGCCGCTGCAGCTATCTCCAACACTACCTGCGACCACCATTATGAACTGAACGAGGCGCCGCCACCAACCTGACACAGTGGTCGCAGAGGCTTCTCGAAACGCCCCACCAGAGTCGCCGTCGCCATCCGACTCCTGTCCCCATTGACCATCACTTTCATGGTTGCGCATGGGCTTACAAAATGATGCGAGACAAACTGACCCACTGAGTAGCTTCTAGGGAACACGAAGAGATCCGCATACCCGAATACTCCCACTACGGGATCACCGTGCAAGAGAATATGCATATGGCTGCCTTCATGTGCTGGTGACAATATGAAATTTTCGGAAGTCTCATTGATTCCTGTACATTTTTACCAAACTTGTACGTGAACTCCTATAAATAGTGAGGAAGCTCTGAAGCTCAGCTGAGGCAAGCGAACACATACTCCAGCACTGGGGATGACTATGCGAGGATGCGTCCCGAGGCTAACACTATCACTCTTACAGAACCAGCCCATTGTTTAACTCAACACCGAGCCGTATGATGAGCACATCAACATCATGATTATAGGCAGAGGGCCTTCATAGAACAGTTGGGGGATAATCAGTAATAGCTGGTCTAGCAACAGCGGTACGAACATGCGAGGTCGGAGTCCATGCCTGAACCAAGTTGATCAGATCGAAAGGCAACTATAACTTACCGAAACGCTCAAGACCAGGCCTCTTCCACTGTATCGCTATCGCCTTCGGAGAGTGTATCGTCCATATCAATTTCAGCTGCAAAATACAAGACTATAGTCCCAGGAAGGATAACCATTGATAATTCAGGACTCACATGCGCCACTCTGCCTCTGACTCGTAAAATCCACAATTTGTCGTGTCCTCTCGATCTGTCTCAGAATTGACGCTAATCTGAGTGGAACTACATGCTGCGGCTACAGCGACACTGAGCCTACTTGAGGCACATGTGGAGGTCCATATACCCTCGATGGTCACTGTCCAACCATAGGAACAGTCGATACAACCATCCCAATTCATACTCGCCATCCAGGAGATCCATCATGCCTAAGGGGGCAGCTACACGGCCTAATCGACACTCCCCCGAACCGATCCTTACTGTCACAAAATTCTCCTTCGCTTAGTTCGCCTGTACAGTTCTTGTCCAATTCTACGAATACCTTCGCAAGGCTGGCTTCCCACGGATTGCTCAGGAGACCAGCAAGTTCCTCATCTGAACTGAGATATCACCCGATGTATGGGTAGACGGTCTCACTCGGGACACTCTGAGCGGCTTTTTCGAGTAAGTCTCCCGGCAGTTCCTCTCCACAGGCGATGACAGCTCGTATGAAGTTGATCAGAGACTCATCATCGACGGAGTTCATCATGAAGCCCTATAAAGGCATCACCAAAAACGTCCAAACAGGAAGAGCTCACCTCATCACTGTCATAGCCTGCTCCCATAAGACGGCGGCGACCCTCACGGTTGTTATATAGGCTCCTCATCTCCGAGGCCCCCTCAAGTCGACCTGAACCAATAAGACGATATGCCAATAACAGTCGCAATAGTGACCAGTCGCGTACTTTCCCTTTCTTTCGAGCGTTTAAATACTGCAGTCCGACCTAGTATAAGATCGAGTCTGCGGGAGGATTATCCTGTCGAGATCCTACGTTTAGTTGGTACTGGACGCAGTAGCGCAATCATCTCCTTTACCGAACGAGCGTGATTTCCACAGCCATCGTCACCTAAGCATCGCCTTCCGTTCATACATTACTACGACTCCGACTACCATGTATTGGTATAGGCAAGTTTCGTCTAAGGTTCATTCTTTCTTGTTTTTCCTTCTCGCGAAGCATCATCAACGGCCTCTGATCGCGCGTCTGCATCAGCCTGACCACCAACAGTCGCCTCTCAAAAAGCATGAACAAATACAGTCATATACTAAAACATCTCACTCCCCCCCAAGAAACTGTTCTCAGCCGAAATA